AACACAACACTGTCACTAATACTATGTGGCCAAGTAGGAAGCAGCACTACAGGTAGTTTAGTGAGTCACGCCTGATTTTATGACATTTTCCCTGTCATTAAGTGAATCATGCAGTTATTAAGAAATATAACTTTTCCCATTGATTTTCCTTGTTGGAAGCAAGGGGGGGGGGATGAAATGTTGATTTTGGGTTTTACTGATTAGATAGATTTGTTGATACAGAAATAGCTAGTTTATAATATTATTTCAAAGTAAAAAGGTGGAATCTTGATGTTATTATCTTATTCTACTGCACCAAAGGGAATCGGAAGTCAATGCTTTTTCTTTCCTTTTCCCTTCTTTTCTACACTCTTCCCATTCTTTCCCTCTCCTATTTTTCCTATTATTTGTTTTTATATTTTATGTTATAAACTAATAAAAAGAGAAAGGAATGTGACTTCTCTCATTGATTTTGCTGGTTGGAAGCTCTCTGGAAAGGTCACAAATAGCAACCATGAGATTTTGGGACCCTGCAACTGTTGTTAGTACATGCCAGTTGCCATGTGCCAAAATGTTGATCTCATGATCTTGGGGATGTTTTGATAGTCATAAGTGTGAAGACCAGTCAAAATCAGATTTTTTCAGTGTCAACTTAATTTTGAATTGTCACTAAACCAACAGTCATAAACATGTAGTTGATTTTTTTTTTAAAAAAAGTAGATTAGTACTAGGATGGGAGCACTGGAAAAGATCAAAGCCTTAGGTTAGTCTGGAAACCGAAAGCAATGTATACTGTACAATATTGTGGAAGAAGACAATAGCAAAGTATTATTGCCATGGATATATTCATAGCATGGATATATTCATGAATGAGTAGCAACTGAACATAATTCTACTTCTACCGTAGGTAAATACACATGTTAGCAGTCTTCATTATCAAAGCCTGGGATAGCTAATAACTTATAGCTAACGTGATTACATACTGTCATGTTATGTCTTCCAACATAGTACCACAGACAACAACATCTGCCTACCCTAGGTCCTTGGTAGACCAGATTGATTGGTGGGTTAAAAAAAATGCCAAATTCAGTACAAACATCTGGCTGACTGTGTGACCGTTATGATAATAAACCTTTAGCTACATATATAGATGTTTTCATCATCTCCAGACAAGCATAGTGGTGAGGATTGTGGCAATTGTAAGAATCCTGGGAAATATCAGGTTGGACGTTCCTTCAAACAGATCCCAAACCTAGATTTGGGGGAAGCCTTTGGTGTGCTGTTAACTAAGGAACTTTTATTCTGTTTTCCTCTTTTCCTTTTCTGCAACAGAGTAGGAAAACCCTCTGGGTCAAAAGTGCTACAAATTACTTACATTTTCCAAGAATGAATATCTGAAGATTTCCAATTAGACACCCGCGCAAAGGTTTCTGTTACTCTTACATCTGAACCTAAAGTATGGTTACTTTGGATACAAGCGATCCGTCCCGCTCACCTCACTTGACATTTCAGAGTGGATTCCCCCTCCCCCCGCCTCCAGTTAAAAAAAAAGGCATTAAAAATGCCGACGGAAGTGATTTCATTTCCTTCGCCATAGAGCTATACCTGTAAATTGAGCGGCGTTGCGGGAGCTACTCTTAAGTACTGCAAAGAGCGTCCCCGGTTCTTTCCCAGCCTGTTATTCCCCCACCCCTTCTTCCCGGTCGGAAGTGGGCGATTGGTAAATTGGGTGGGAATCGAGAAAGGCTGGAAGCTAGGCTTAAACTCGCCTTAATTTGTTTCCACCAAATCAATGCTTAGCAGGTTGGCAATGGATGTACTCGGGGTCTCCCCCCCCCCCGCCCCGCTTGTTTCAAGTTGAAAAGATGGACCTTTTTCCAATATAAAAACGCTTGAAAAATCATCTTGTAATCCACTTGTTTTCAAACGGAATGAAAAGTCGGGATTCCTCCAACTTTCTTACTAGTATTACCACTACTCAAAAGAATTTAGAAAGAGAAGGTCACCATCCCTCTAAGAGATTAACAACAACAACAACAAAAATAATATAACAATATAATAATAATCAGTCGAGGCTTTAATATTATTATTATATACTTTATTCATTAAACATGAAATTCAATTGACTGAGTTTCATATTTAATGAATAAAGTATATAATAATAATGCCTGGACTGATAATACCCCTCTCCTTTCCAAAGCCGCCTTAATTCCTTTAAATTCGTCTATTGTGATTTCTATTAGACAGGCGAACGAGCAGCAGTAAATAAGAACTTCGACAAGGACTGGGTTTCAAAGGGACCCGCTTCTTCATACAAAACGTAGGCAGCCTAAAAGGAAACACAAGCGCTCCTTGCAGTCATCGGAGTCTACGGGACGCCATGTGACAGTTTTGAAGCCAATGCAGGGCCAGGACGCCGGTCTCTCCCGGAAATTCAAGCCGGGCGTGCTGTTTCGTGGAGGCAGAGAAACGAGGATGGCGGGAGCAATGCGGGTTCGCCTGGTCTCGCTCGCCCTTTGCAAGCGTCCAGCGTTTCCACCCTGTTGCTTCCGGCGCTGCTATCCTGTTCGGTCCCTGGTCACCCCACCCACGATCAGGCAGAAGGGCTTCAAGAAACCTGGGGTGAGGCATTCCGGCTGTAGAGGTCAGGGTGAGAGAAGCCGAGAACTGATGCGAGCGCCGGGCAGCGGGGAGAGGCCTTCGCTTTGCGCGCACCCTTAATCTTAATCAGAATAGAGCTGGAAGGGACCTTGGAAGTCTTCTAGTTCTACCTCAAGCCGGAGATCCTATACTATTTCAGTCAAATTGCTGCCCAGTTTCTTCTTAAAAACCTCCAGTGATGAAGCACCACAATGTCTGGAGGCAAAGCTGTTCCAATGGTTAATTGTCCTTACTGTTAAGAAATTTCTCCTTAATTCCTTGGTTACTTTCCATCCATTGTTTCTTGCCCTGCCCTCTAGGCTTTGGAAAATAAGTTGACCCCTTCCTCTTTGTGGCAGCCTCTCAAAATATTGGAATACGGCTATCAAGTCATCCCTAGTTGTCCTTCTTTTCTCTAGAGTAGGCAAATCCAAATCCTTGCAACCAGTCTTTACATGTTCGTCACTATTCATTGTTAATTGGCCTCACCTTCTTAGCCAAAGGGGGTGCTTCCGGTTGGGATTGTGGGTCTGTCATTCTGCGAAGCTGCAAAAATGACACTTGGCCGAATCACCTCTCCAGCTGAACTTGCTCGAAGGTGCAGAGTCTCCATCCATGTGATGTGAATCGGTGGACTTAAAAGGGACCATCCGCCTCTTTTCCCCATCTTGCCTTTGGGTGTCCTCATACAGCTATTTCGGTTCAGCCCAAAATAGGGGAGAAATTTAAAAGCACATGGAGAAGTAAGGATGGACCACGAGACGTCACACAATTAGCGCTCATATGAAAAATGGGCTCAGGTTGGCGTGAAAGCATTTATTTATGAACATTTTGTGTTCTTTCCCAGTAGCCAGTAACTTGGAAGAGTTTAGCAGTCACGGCTGTGATTGGAGGAGGGTTGCTAGGATTTCTGAAATATTTGAAGAAAGAGAAACAAGCAGGTAGGTATTATTTGCAGTCGTCCTATTGTGTTTTTTTATTATTGCCTTGTAGAGATAGGTTGTGCAAAGAATTGCATATATACCCAATAGTGGCTGTTGGGTGGTTTTGATTTTTTTTCTAAACTGGTGGTTTCCAAACGTGTTAGATTTGGCTAGGAATGGAAGTTGTGATCCAAGCACATGAAGGAGTGCTACAAATAAGTGTACATTTTTGATAATTATAATTGTTTCTTAACTACCTTGAGATTTGCTTGATCATGTGTCGTATTTTTTTTTACTTCTGCTTATTGTCCTTATCTTAAATTGATTTATGCATGTATAGGTATCATAAATCTTAAGGTTTTTTCCTCATCCAAGTTATGCTAAGTGATAAAATCTCTGCTATAGTGTAAAATTGGGATGCTATACTGATTCCTTCAAAAATCACAGCTGAAGCAGTAAATGTACAATCATTTATTGAAATGCTGTTTGAAGCTATCTTACTTAAAGCCCCTGCATCTAAATCCAACAAGAGAGAATACAAGTGATCTTAAATCATTTTCTGCAGAGATTTTGAAAGATACTGGAAGCGTTTACCCCCATGATAGATAAAACAAAAACAAACCCAAACAGGTTCTAAGAAGGGACACATTTTAAATTGTCTCTCAGATAAGAAAAGAAAAGATGAAGAATTAGGAATGTATGTGTAGGAATTTGTGTTGAAATCTTAAGATTTTCTTCTGCCAAAGTTCCAGGCAAATAATCTAATTTTGTGATTAAATTTTAGCAATGGAGAGAGAGAGTATCCGATCGGTCGGAAAGCCTTTGTTAGGAGGCCCTTTCTCACTTGTTGATCATCATGGACAACCAAAATCAGATCGTGATTATCTGGGCCACTGGGTTTTAATCTACTTTGGTTTTACACATTGCCCTGACATTTGTCCAGAGGAACTGGAAAAAATGATGCTAGTAGTGGATGAAGTTGGTAAGTAAATCCTGCTGAAACCTGAACTTTTAATTTGATTGGATTTTGGCACCACCCAACTCCAGAGTTACTGGAATAATTCTCTATGTGAGACAGTCAGCCTATCCTTTCCTTGACCAGGAAATGATTGCGACTCAGAATTACCTATTTATGATTTTGGTCTTTTTAAACCACTCCCTTTTACCAGAGAGTTTATGGAGAGCGGGTGATGGGAAGGCGGTCAAAGTAAAGGAGGAAAGAATCTGTGTAGAAAGATTTTACAGCCATTTAAAACTTGGCTATATTCAACAAACATGGATGAAAGGGAAATGTATAGTATAGGAGAGTAAAGACGTGATGCCCATGTTTAGAAAGGAAATCTGCATAAGAAACAGAAAGAAAAAGGAGTCAGGTTTACTAGTAAAAGGAGCTCAGTGGTGTACTGTTTTATTTGTCCATAAAATCACCTTACAAGAGCATCTTCTTGCAGCTGGATTAAATGAAATTGACACTTGAGCAGCTTTTTCTCATCTTGGTCACTAAACCTTTCAGCTGCATTTTCACCCTTCTGTTAGCTTAAGCCTAATCATTGCCAAAAGCTTAATAATAAAGGGAAGAAAAATCTATCCACTTACCATAAAAATTCAAACTATCACACTAGTTTTCCGCATAGATTTCAAAAATGCTTAACTCTGACTCCACTCTAGGTCATCAGCCGTTCAGTCAATCAATCAGATTATAAATAAAATAAATATTTTTTTTAAAAAAATATTTGTCCTAACTAGTGCTCAATCATTTAATCCTAATTGCAATATGATCATTAAACTACTATTATTCATAAAAATTATCTCTGATCCCAACTCTCTTGCTATTGTTGAATAGAATTCAAGGAAATCTTGTGGGCCAAAAAGATATTTCCCCAAAATGTTGCCTGACTACTCAATCCTGATGTCAGTCTAAGATTAAATATAAACTCAACATAATATTATTAACCACACTTATTTTTACTATAGATCATTTTGAATGTAAACAAATGAAACTTACTAACTTGATAGTAAGATTTAACCTAACCATAAAGATTTCCCACTAAGAGTAATACAGTAGCAATTCCCACTTTGATAATACTCTTGATAAACAAAGATTAGAACAAACTCAGACTCACCATCATACTGGGTGTAGTATAGATATCAGTGTATCCTAATACACTAACTTAATGGTGATATTGACAATATCCTTTACTAACTTTAATATCAGAGCAAGACTAACAGAATCTATAGCAACACACTTGCATCTTACATTTTTAGAATAGAGTTCCAGGAATTTTAATGTTAACCTCACCTTATCACCTGTGAAACATTTGCCATACACTTTGTCGCAAAACTTGATCCTAACTGCAATTAAAATTTAAGTCTACCATAAAAATTCATTCAGATTTTGCCTTTTATCCTGCCTTTTATTGTACATTTATCCTACTTCTTATTGTCTAACCTTAACTTTATACCATAACAATGTGTTACCTAGCCAGTTTGTCAGTATTCAAAGAGTACAGTGGATTTGAGACTACCAATATCTGTAAAAATGCATCCTCATTCTCTCCTTCATCCAAGATTTTATTTGAGATTTCAGGGAAGCTAAATCTTATCCCTAAATTCATCTTATCCCTCAAGGTCTGCTCAAAATGTACCAAAACACATAGAAAGTTTAAATCAACACCTGGGAGAAGCTGTCTATGTATATACTTGAACAGATTGGGAAGTGGTACAGGTATTTGTGTTCAGGGTTATCAAGAGATTTAATAAAAATCAATAAAAACAGTCTTGAGGCTGATTGCTTGGGGATTAAGTGTTATCTTTTATAATGACAGATAGGATCGCATCTTTGCCTAATGTCACTCCACTCTTCATCACCATTGATCCAGAGAGGGACAATGAAGAAGCCATTGCCAAATACGTTAAAGGTATTTAGCCTTTCTTTTTATTGAACCTTCTATATTGACTCCAGTTTGACTTGCACTTCAGACCAAGTTCACTTTTTGCCCTTTTGGATTGGGTCCATTGGATCTTATTGATTTTATTTATGTTTCAAGAGTTTTCACCAAAGTTGATTGGATTGACCGGTACGAAAGAACAGATTGATCAAGTGTCTCGAGCTTATCGTGTCTATTACAGCCCAGGTCCTAGAGATGATGATAATGATTACATAGTAAGTACATTTTGTATGTGTGTTCCCATCAATGGGTAAAGATTTTAACCTGAGAGAGACCCTTTATGGGTCACTGAATCAACAAAGTGTGAATGAGCAGTGAGTAAAACTGCCCTAGAAGTATACAAAACATTGGAAAACATTGGGAGGGGAGCTGAGAATGTTTGGCCTACAACTGAGTTACTTTTCTGAATGAAGTTGACAAAATAGATCTAAATGGAAATGGCAATTATCATAGAAAACATGGGAGGTGACTGTGTACTTTGTTCCAAACAAAAGACTTTCTTTGTGAGAAGATAGTGTTTGGTCAAGTGATTTTTTCTGATTGATGGGAAGCTGCAGTTTGGTGATCTTTCTTTATGTTGAGGAACATTTGTTGGAACATTTCTTATTTTAACCATGAGCAAGAAAAAATAAATCGGAAAGGACCTTGTCAACAGTAGAACTGAAAATGTTACTCTTTGATACTGAAGTTGGTTTCAGTATTCATAGCAATTTTTAATAAGGCCGTGTTGGGATTTGAAAAATTCAGTTCAGGTTTGTGTCTTTCTGCATGCATGCATGCCTTTGAGTCTTGACTCTTGGTAACTACCTGGATTGTTCTTTGAATTTTTTTAGGCATTATATTTTGAACATGTTTTCTAATATAGAGTTGGATAAGTATTTTTAAAAAGTGAAGACATTTTAGAGTATGGTTCAACTGATAACTCTGGTGACATATTGATGCAACTTTAGCATACAAACCCATTGCCACCTTTGGCGTTGTTTCAGCTTTTCAGTCCAACCTGGACTGATAGTTTCCCATCCAACTGCTCAGCAGGCCCAGTAGTGCTTAGCTTCTGGGCTTAGAGAAGGCCAGATATCTTCCTAAAGGAAGATAAAAATGGGCAAGTATCAAAAGATAGACAGGAGAGGGCGCCAGATAATAAATGACAATGGCCATAAAAGGCAAGCACCATGCAGAATAACTTCAGCCTTTGTTGTTTGAAATAGGCATTTTTATTAGCCTAAATATTCCTACGCTTACTTTAAAGTATAAACCCCAAGGGTGTCAGTTGTAGGTTCTAGCACTCACTTTGATTAGCCCAAAATGAATAGTTTGCTGATGAGAAAATAGTATTTTATTTTTAATTTGTTTTTTTTTTTAAGTGGCTTTTTGCTGCTGCTCTTGACCTGCCTGAAGAAATTCAGTACTGTTCTTGTGCCTTACAAAAGATGTCTATTACTGGATTTTTACTTACTTTTTAGATGATGCGGAAAGCTTGGTTCTACTTTTTGCCAAACACACAGCAGTTCAAAATAGTAGGATTCCTCCCCACTCACACTTCTTATATAGGGCTTGGCTGCTTTTGTGGTCTTAACATCAGATGTACGGGGCTCTACTTTAAAAAATGTATTCTCATATTTACTGCTGAATATATACACACATAGTATGTATGTATGTATGTATGTATGTATGTATGTATGTATGTATGTATATGTATGTACTTTCGTGACTACCTATTAAAGCCTTTATTAGAAATCTAGAACTGGGTAATAGTTCAGTCACAGAAATAATTTAGTGCTTAGCAAAATTATCTAATCTCAGAATTTCAACCTTATCTTCATCTCCTTTGTGTGTGTTTTTCTTGCAGGTGGATCACACTATCATAATGTACCTTGTTGGGCCTGATGGCCAATTTGTTGATTATTTTGGCCAAAATAAGAATAACATGGAAATTGCTGCCAGCATCCTAAAGCACATGAAACAATACAAGAAAGAATAAGGGACTTCGTTTTCTAACTAAGCAAGTTTAAAGGAAAGAAAGTCTAAAATGCAGCTTGTGACATTAATTGGAGGAAATGTTTACACAGGTAGTCTGCTGTGGTGTCTTCTTAGTGCAGTTGAATTTACTAAACCTATACCTACAGACTAAGACTCGGTTCTGAAGAGAAGTTGGATAGCTTTCACCCATAGATGCTATTCTACCGGTTCGGACCAGTTTGCCTGAACCGGTAGCAGAAATTCCGTGTGGCCTCGCCCACCTGCCCAGACTCTATGGCATCTCATTTTGGTCCTTTTTTCACCAAAAGTGCATGCGTGGAAGGCTGTGCACATGTTTGGAGGTGGTGTGCGTGCGCTTACATTTGCAAACAAGTAGGGAAGGTAAGTGTATACTACCCCTGCTTTCACCAATGATATTTTCTCTGGATATGCCTTAGCCAAACAGTGGCTTATTAAAAGCCTTTGATATTGATGCAGATTTACTCAGAAAGAGCCACCAGACATAAACCACAATGCTCTCTTCATTAGAAGTTCTTGACCTGCTAAAGAGATGCCTGCTGAACTCACCTGTACTGAAGATACCATTGGGATTTGTCTTCTTTCAAGTTTTATGCATTCCTCCTAGGAAGCAGGGCTTCTTGTCCTTTCTCAATGAACATTTCCAGGGTGTCACTTTTTATTTTTGAAATATTCAGTAGTTTACAATATGGCTGCTATTAAGCAGCATAGTAGGATGGTAACCTTTACTCTAAACTCAAGTGTGGTGCACAGATGATGAAATAAAGTGAAAGAAACTTAAAACTTGTGTTCTCATCTTAAAATCTATATGTTGAGTGTATCTATCATGTTGAGTGTATGGGAGTTGCTTGGAATTGAATGAATGGCCCACTTTTAGTAATTGTTACCTTTGTATTTTATATGTTTTAAATTCTTACGTGGGATTTGTTAGAGTGGATAAATGAGAATGCTTGACTCGGAGGACCTGCTGGGGAAGGCGGGAGGAACGGGGGTGGTTGGGGGGGCCATGGACATGGGAGTGGGTCGGAGCATAGCGGTCGTGACAGGGAGAGGCAGATACGGCGGGGACCTTAGGGTTGGCCATTTCCGGGGAAGGAGGGTTCGCTACATTACAGAGATCCCTCCTTCCGGCCCTA